TGGGGGTTCTGCTCCTGGAGGTCCTGCAGTTGTCTGGACAGTGGTAGCATCCAAGGACATCCTTTTAAGTTAACGAACATGCAAATGAATGTAAAAACACTAATAAATAGAAGGCAAATTATATTTTCCTAGCAAATTGAGCATGCTGCTTGTGTGCACTGGAGATTTCATAGGGATGATTAAGTGCGGATAAACACTCAGTGGAGAAAAGTTGCTCCGCAGGCAGAGAAGGGTTCCCCTCTCCCCACTGGCTTCTCGGTTTTTATTTCGCAAAAGGCGCCAGAATGCAGCTCTGCTCCCTTGGCTTCCCGAGCAGGGATCCAGCAGGGATCTGCCGAGTTGCCACGGCTCTTCCATAGGAGCGCGGTGTCGGAGCCCAGCTCCGTCTCGGTGAAGCCGGGAGGCTGTTGGTTGCTAGGACAACTCCCATAAATATCCCCGAAACAGTCGTGTCCTGAGCCGCGGGGAAGCAAACCCGCAGGGGAAGATCTCTTTTGGATTAGAGGTTGCCAGATCCACTTCGGGTTAACGCCTGGAAGGACAGCCCTGGGATGAATTATTATCTGCACTTAGTCCCCTGCCTTCAATATTGTATTTTTTCTCCTCTGTGAGGAGGCTGTGGTGCCTGCTGTGAGGAGCTACATCTCTTAAACCTCCTAAGTGGGGAGAGACGGAGCTTGGCTTGAATAAAGGGCAGCCCGTGACAGTGACGCAAATTTTATGCATTTAAAATAAATAAACTATGGGATGGGGCTGGTCTCTCTATCCTTCCAACTCCAAAGGACAGCTTTGGTACCAATCCAGTGCCAGGTGAGGTCATCAGATGCCTTCTCCATTGACTTGCAGGCACTTGGATCCTTCTTTAAACCATCAAAAATTTAGGCGGAAATATCACATCGTAACGGATGTGGCAAAGGGAACGTGGCAAAGAGAATTTCCGTAAATGCAGATTCCTGAGATATTAACTGTGTTTTCCCTTTGCTAGATAACCTCTTCAAACCAAAGGAAAGATTCATTCCAGAAAAAGAGATGCACATGAGATCTAAAAGGTATAGGCCACCGCGGTTGGGCTCCCCGTGCTTCCCGCCATTCCCTTGCGCTTCCCATCCGTTTCGGGCTGTTTTCCCAGGCTTGGGTCAGGTAGCCTGATCCCTGTGCTTGTCAACAAGCCTGCAAAACATTTTGCTGAATTCTGTATTTTCAAATCTACTTATAAGTATAACCTCATTTAATACACATGTGCTCAGCACTGTCAAGTACTGTTGCCTCTTAATTTTTAATTACAGATTAATACAGATTTGTGATGCGTAAATTCACAGATTGCAACCTATCCTGCATGGAATAACTAGAAAGGCCACACTCCTTATGTTGTCAGGTATCATTCAAGAGCTTTCAGGTGCCAACTCCTAATTTTCTGACACTACTGCGTCTGTTTTAAACACATCATCTACAGATGATCTACCCCATTTTTATCCCCCCAAATACCATTTCCAGCCTGAGTGCAAGACAAAATAGGCTGCTTTGAGAACTTGAGTTTGCAGAACGATACGGGAAAAATCAAAACAGGCAAACATAGGTCAGTGGGAGTTGTACAACTAGCACAACTTGTGTCCAGAGAACAGGCCTGCTGAAGAGGGAAGGTGCCACTTTCTCTTTGAAGCATTGGGAATTTTGTCAGCTATTTCAATGGAAAAAGATCAGACCGAGTGTCACTTTTGTGAAGGCAAAGGATGTGATTTTTAGAATGGAGAGATTTTAGATGGGAAGAAAAATCCTAATGACTGACTGCTGTACATTCTTATAAATTTGGTTTTGTTATATTTCATAAAAACACCAGAAAATGATAGCTGGGTATTAATTTTGTAATTGCCAAAAGGGATGTAGGCCAGATTCTGGTTTATATGACGTTGCTATAGATTGAAGCTGACTCCACAAACCCATCAAAGCTCCTCCAGAGTTATGCAACCTGATCCCCTCTCTTTTTTCACCTTTTAATCCAAAATTATCTACAAATTAGACTTTTTTGTAATAACATTATTGTTAATAATCCTTAACTCTCATTCCATAAATCTTATTCAAATATTTTCAGATGCCCACTAATGCCCATAAATGTCCATAATTTTTTTTTATAAAAAAATAGGTTATTTGTGCATCCCAGTGATGATGTGTGAAGTTAACTTTCTAAATTCCTTCCAGGATTTATGATAATTTACCTGAAGTAAAAAAGAAGCAAGAAGAGAAGCAGAAACGGGTGATCATCCAGAGCAACAGACTGCGTGTTGAGCTCTTTAAAAAGGTAATGGTTGCTTGTGAATGCAAGTAATAGGTTTGCAATCCTTCTTTACTGCATTAAACATGACCGTCCCACCCTCAGTGTCTGTGAGACAGGGAAGGGACCACGGAGCTCAGGCAAAGGGACATCCTGGGGACAAGGGATGTTCTCCAGATCTGCGGCAGATCTTCCTCCTGGAAGAAGGAACTCGGTAAAGGTCGAGTGAATGGAGCTTCAAGACTGCTAAGACAATACGTCCTCTGCTGTCACTGAGCCTTTCTACATGGTTATCCACCCGCTGTATTTGAAATGCCTTAAGGGTTTTCATGTTGTTTTTTTCTTTTCCTAGCAATTACTGGACCAGCTCCTTCAAAGAAACACAGAGTGAGAAAGGATTCTCTTGCTGACGATACTAATTGGATCTCGAATGCCTTTGACTCTTAGATAAGCCATAAAATTCGCTGTTATCTTAATTTCTCGGAGGTATTTCTCTTATCTTTGGCTCTTCATGCAAAGAAGATCATTTGTATTTCAACTGAAATTTAAAAGTAACTTTCAAGCAATCAAAAACAGTCTGAAAGGCAACACAGCTGTTTAAGAGCATCAACTCATGGTCAGTTTACCCAGAGGAAATAATTTTAAGAATTTTTAATGCAAATACTGTTTAACAGTGGTATTATTTATTTTATTTTATTTCAAGTATACATCTCTGTAGCAAGAGAACTGGCTTTATAAAACCTGGGAAACGTATTTCTCCAAAGCATTCTATTAATTGATTTCCTGTGAGTTAAATCCTTGAACTAAAGAAAAATGAACATCATTATTTGTTATGTTTAGAAACTAGCTGAAATAGCATTACCACATAATCATGGCAGCAGCAGTTTTACATTAATACTTAACATACCAAAAGGGACCAGTATTTTAGCTCTCTGAAGAACTCTATTCATGTTTATACAGTGAATCTATATAGTAAGTTTACCTGTTAAACAGCAATATTTAAAAATATGGCTATAATTTTTTTCACATGTTTTTCATTGCAATATGTCTTTTACTCAACTTCTGTGATCATTAAGTATTTACAGGAATGGCATATTAAGAAGTGGTGCCAAGAAGTATGTTTGTATCAAAATTGCACAACTAAAACCATCTGTAATGTTTCCTCCAAAAATATTTAAATCTTTATTTGTACATTTTGGAAGTAAAAACAACCAGCTTACAAACCAACAGAATTTATTTATGGAATTAAATATGAATAGAATATTGATCCAGCTGCTACATTTTTATTTGATACTGTTAAATGCAACACAATTATTTCAATCACGGAAGAAGTCTCATGCCTTTGTTGTATAAATAGAAGTCCTCGCTTTGCCACAAATACTATGGTAGAAAACACCGCCCATGAAATCACTGCTGTTGCTAACCTCTGGGGCAGGAACCCTTGGTTTGAGCCTGTTTGAACAAGCCTGGTTTGGAGTTTGGCCTTTGAAACCCATGCTTTATTTTCCTAATCTGAGGTGTGAGGCTGGGTTTTTGGGAAGAGCCATGTCTGTGATCCACACTGGACACAAGGAGCCTGGCTCCATCCAGTGCCATTATTGGCTCTCTTAGATTATGTAATTTCTTTGTCTTTCAGCTTCCCAGTTTGTAAAATCAGATTAACGACTATTTTCTTACAGAGGAGATGGGGATTCATTGAACCAACACATTGCATGCTAGGTAAAGATTTTTAAGCACTCGGCAATTGGTTCAATAGGTTTCAAGAGGACGACGTGCAAGGTAAGGTGCCAGGGGTCTTTCCCCCAAAATACTCTTTTTAGCCAAGCAGGTAACGCTGCACAGGGGACACGGGTGAGGGCTGGACCACAGGTGGCTCCAGGCAGAGGAGCTTCTGGAAGGGACGGCAGCATCTCCCAGCTTCCCCGAGCAGCTGCTCGCTCAGTCTGCTCTTTTTCATTGATCCCTCTTGCTGCTCTCCACATTTGGCATCTGGCCTGCTTCAAACGGGAGGTCTTGCTCTCTCTGGTAGGCTTCTCTGTCCCACCACGGAGCAATAGATTTTAGCAGAAAATACACCCACACACATGATATCCTAGAGAGGACCTGAAGGATTAACTTTCTCCCAACTACAGCTCACCGCAACAACTAAAGGGATCCAGAATGGGGAACGAGAGCAACGGGATGGAGGGCACAGCCTTGGTGTGACACCGCTTGGCTTATTTTCTGTCATCTGGGCAGGCTCCTTCTCCACCAGATGTTGGTTTTCTCCAGCTTCTGCTGCTGGTGATCACCAGCACTGGGTACCAGACTGCCTTGACACATCCTGGCTTCACTTGGCCCATGAACAACTCCACTCTTGGACACACTCCCAACAGGTGAACTACTCACCAAATCATTTGGCTCAGTGGAAGTCATATTTCCAAGTGCTTTTATTTTCTCTAAACGTGGTTTTCTAAACCTGAAGGACAAACACAACTTGAAGCGAAAATCGTCTCGTGAAAAGAAGCTTGGGAGCCTGTGAGCCTAACGCAAATCACTGTCTGGGAATGTTTTACATGATATGAGACCTTTGCTTTAAGAAAACAAAAATGTTCTCTGTTTCAAACCTCATTTGTCTTTCTGGGCCTCTGAAAAGAGGATCTCTGGTAATGCATCCAGCAAACAATTTGAACATTCATTTCAGCACTACAATCAAGTCATTGTAATAGCAAATAAAAGTCATTGTAATAGCAAATAGATGGTACAGGAAAATGTTGCTGTAGAAAAGCACAGGTTTAGTCCTCTCTGGATTGCTATCAACTTAGCAAAGCTTAGGAACAAAATTGGCATAACTGCACTTTGAATGTGCACACATTTGAAAGTAAAGGGTACCTTTGCCATTAAATAGTATTTTTCACAGAAAATTCTCCAGCTTAATCTTGAAATCACTCTTAGTTGTTTAACACTGGAACTGTTCTCCTCTGGATGCTGTTCGGACAGTGTTTTGCTACCAGCTCTTCAATGCCCCAGCTCTTCAGCAGGGATAGATTTTACTCTGATATAATTATGCAAGGATTAATATTTATCCCTCAGCTTCGAAGATCTGTTGTCCCTTTTCTCAGTGACAGAATGCCCGCAGAAACACCTTTAATCATCGAGTGTCATTCTGTGCTCACCAGCCTAATGAACTGGAAATGTTTTTGGAGGCTGTGATTTTCTCTCTAGCAGTGTCTGCTTAACTATGCCAAAACCATTGAAATGAGTTTGCCACGTGAACACACACTTGTTCTCTGTTGAGAATAAAACATATCCTATCTTTACATCAGGCATCCTACTTTTCCTCGTTCTCCTTGGCTCTTTACCAAAGCTGTAGGAGGTAGAATTACTTAATATCCATTTTAGATGACCCACAGAATGAGATAATGAGGTGTATCATCTGTCTAGCAGCTGCAGAATGATAAAAAAAAGGGAAATATATAAATGTGCTCATGGTACACACAATTAGATAAAATTAGTAAAGAGGAAGAGTGGAATAAACTGCTTAAGGGTCCTTGCATATCGACAGGAATATAAAAAAGAAGCTCTAATTGCAGAGATTTTTTTAGAAACTGGTCACAGCGAAGTATTCTTAGACTTTTCATGCTTTACATGCTTTTATCTTCACCAGGAACTTACAAGGACTTTGTGTTCCCTGGAATAAGAGATGCTTTGTGCCCCCTTGCAGGCTGATGAGGGGAATGTAAGTAAAGCTGGTGACAGAAGGGTGGTCACTGCGTGGTGCCCAGGCTGGGTTTGAAGATGACCTGATGGCAACAGTGTCTGCAAGAAAGGTCTCTCAGCAGCTGTTCTGCTGAATTGTCATACATAAATATGGCCAGGGAGCTAGAAAAAAGTGCGCTAGAAAAAAGTGTTCAAGATGGAAAACCAAGAAGAGGTCTGGCTTTGCTATTGATAGGTACTCTTAAACAGTGCCACCTCCAAGAAGCCTGGAGACTGTTAATGGCAATAAAACAAGATGTTTTAAACACCCCCCTCCCCGATGGCAGCAGGGCCTTCAACAGAGTTTCCGGGATGGCAGTGAAAGGGAACTACCAGTGCATCCCATGCTGCCGATTTACAGGGAAATAAACCCGCACTTAAATATTATATCCACATTAGTTCTTTGTGACTAATGTTATTACAATGAATACCAGAGGAATTAGTAATGATTACCCACTTACTGTAAAGTGTCGCCAAATATATACTTAACTTGTAATGCTACTGAGAGCACATATATAATTTTTGTGTTTGTTATTATGTAAAAATATAACTCTGAGGGCTGGCTGGTCTAAATCTAATTATATAATGGCATAAGTTAAACTGCATGAAAGACACATAATTATGGGTTGGCTGCTCTATCTAATACTATCAGCTGATGTTGCAAAGCCAACATTTTGCTTCCATTTGCTTTAGTCTTGCGAGATTCCCCTTGCTGTGTCTGCGACCCAGAGCAGATCAAAGGTTTGCACCAGAATCCAGCTATCAGAAAAAGGCCTGAAGAAAAGCAACTCCCATTCACGCTTCTTTTCATAGCTGACGTGAGCCTGAGGCCTAATTGATTTAATTCTCCCTTGGTACGTACCACAGGATGAGTGATTTCTTCTGAGCTTCCCACTGAGAATATTTTTTCTCTAAAAATGGCCAGAAATATGCTGTCTGCCTAATTGCATGCCCCATGCTCCTGACGATGCATGCAGCGTTGTTTGGCGGTTGCAGAGGGCCAGACAGGCACCACAAAAATATATGGCTTCATAATACTTGGTCTGCACTGAATACTGGCCTCTTGTGAGACACAAAAAAATGGTCGTCTTTTTCCTTTGTTTTCAAGGAGACAGGGAAATTTGTAATAACAGGTCAAAGTGCCTATTCTCAGAGTCTGGTTTGAAGACAGAAAAACATCTTTAACTGGGTATCAGTCATATTTAAAGGGCTTTTAGTAAGGGAAACTTTGCTGCTGTGCATTTACAACTGCCTCGTCTGATACGAGGGTCCTGCTGGGGAATTATCGCTTTTCCGAATGACCACAGAGGTGGGCAGGAAAACGTAAACGTGAGGCTGGAAGAACACGCCGCCGCTCAGGTGGGCACAGGATGCTGCTTCTTTGGAGGTGGAGGATCAACGATGGCCAGAAGACAAGTGTAAATACTCTTGTTTGGGCATTTCCTTTTTTTATTTCTGATTCCACAGCAGGCTGATGCATTGAGAGTAAAGAATAATGTTTTTAACATATATTCCTAGAGCCATTTCAGTAAGGTGAACTCCACGTTACACCCTGTGGATCCCACGTGGTCATTCCTGGAGGCACCAAGGCCCGTGTTCCCTCCGGATCCTCTCAGAAGAGCCTCAGGGAGGAAGAGGCGCCGCTCAGCAAGGCCCAGCGTCATGGGCACGTTCCTGATGCCGTGAGCAACAAGGAAGAGCCTGAACATGGAGGGAGGCAGGGAGATATTTAATGGCAGGCCTCAGGCAAGGCCCGGGAGCCCTCACAGGCCACCCAAGAGCCGTGGGACCCACCACGGCAGCCGGGGACCATTGGGATCCTGATAATGCAGAGAGCTAAGAGCGCTCACGCCATGAGGCGGCGACGCGACGTCTCGGCAGCTGGCGAGGGGACACAGGGCCTTTTGCAAGGAAAAACAGATTTTTTTTCGTTTGGTTTACTCTAAGGAGCAAAGACTCCAGCCTGGAGGCCCCAAAACTGTAGATCCCTGTAGCTAAACCCCAGCAAGTCCTCGTGCATGCTGGCACATATGGGAAGAGAAGGGCTTGGATTTATGGACATAACTTGACGTGGTGATTAGAGGAGGTGGTTCTGGGTATACAAAGGTGACCATGGTTGGTCCAGCCATGAGCTGCTCAGCACACCGTGCTATGCAGGGTACCCTACACCAGCGCCAAAGGGAGCGCGTGTCTTGGAAAAGCTACTAGTGGGATGAAGCAGGGAATAAGTAAACACTTGGAGATGCTAGGGAAGATATGGAGATCAAAAACTGAAAGAAAAAGCACAAAGAATCAGTAACAAAAGATAAGCAGGTAAGGAAAACACAGATGCAGTGAGAGATCCCTCCACGCAGCCCTTCTCTGGCAGAGCAGGAGAAGAAAGCTGGAAAATGGGGAATGGAAAGCTGGCCCGCAGGGAATAACCTGGCGGACGAGGATTGTGGAGGCCTTTGAAGTAGCCCCACAACCTGGATGCAATTTTCATTTCCTGCAGGGGCACCTCGGCCTCGGGCTTCTGA